GATGGCATAAGTCTCAAGACAACACTTGAACGAACAACCGAGATAAATTAGACAATAATACCGTCTTGCGAATATTTTTGAAAACATCTAATAAGACTTATAAGGATCCACGAGAAACCATAAGGAGTTGCCAGAATCAACCAGGAACCAGGAACCGCTTTTTCTCCCTTGGGAATTCCTGTGGTCCGTAAGTGGGGAGGGAGGAGATTAGAAACTGGGAACCGGAAAACATCGACTTAAAACTTAGACTCACTATTTTCTTCAAAAAAATATGTGAGCTCCACAAAACTTCCGGTATTACTTATTTTCCCATATGCATTAGCGATTACATTCACTTGACAGATGCAGATACCGTTTCATCACAGAGTGAACTAAGATTTTTTTCAAGACATAACAATGAAAACTATATATTCCAATTGAGTCCAACAGCTTCACACACATTAATGCAATCCGAAGATTGACATAGAATACATTGATTTATTGACCGTTCCCTCGTATGTCTAATGGAACCTTTCAGAAAAAGCTCTATGAAAAAGTGTAGAAATCCTGAGTATCTTACTCTTGCATTAAAATTTATTTCATGAGCGAACCAAACCAAAGCGTAAAGATAAAGACGCCATTAGGATATAGATTTTCATGCGAAAATGGATCTCCTGACCCAATCCAACTCCAAAAGATGAACGTATCATTTAGATATAGTTTCATACGAGAATGAATTTTCTGACCAAACTCAACTACCAAAGATATAGATATCATTTATATATAGAATATCATATCAGAATGAATTTCCTAACTCAACCCAACTGCAAAAGGTAAAGCTATCATTTATATTTAGAGTTTTATGTGATCTAATCCACTCAACCCAAACAAAAAGACAAAGATAACATTTATATATAGGTTTTCGTATGAAAATGAATTCCCTTACTCAACCTGCTCCATCCAACTACAAATGATACAGATGTTATTGATGTATAGAATATCGTATGAAACTGAATTTCCCGATCCAACCTAACCCAAACCCAAAAGATATACATATAATTTATATATAGAATACCATGTGGAAATGAATTTCCTCGATGAACGTAACAGTAGACTGCGATTTGTGTGGCTTTATTTGGTTGTTTAAATATGACTTTCGATCCACACATACGAGATCATGAATCTGGGCCGTCGCAGTTATATTCTTTTATCTAGTGTCATTCTTTCGATAATGATGTGCAGAAGCTCGAAACTTCAAGACATAGGAATTTACCATGTCGTCAGCCAGAGAAAAAGGAATAAACTTACATGTTCTTTTGCACTTCTTTAAATGTTTGGCTATAGTTCAACAGATGAGGATGATTTGAAGGCAATTTCTTCTGAGCGATGTCTACCGCTTGTTGGACATTTTCCATTGCCATACTATATTGTTGGGTAGCTAAATATAGTTTTGCCATATTATGAAAAATTATAGCTAAATCAGGATGATTTTTTGGTAATTTCTTTTGACGTATTTCTAATCCTTTTTGAAAATATGTCAATGCTGTTGAATAATCTTTCATTTCTCGATAAGTTTCACCTAAATTTGTATATGTTGTTGCACATTCCAGAGGATTATATTGAACATTTTCTTGAATATTTAATGCTTTTTGATGAAATGAAAGTGCCCTATCATAACTACCCATTAATCGATGAACATCACCAATATTACTGTAAGTAATACCCTGATAGAGATGTTTTTCAGGTAACGTTTTTAGATCTATTGCGAGACACTTTTCCAAATTATCAAGTGCTTTTGAATAATCTTTCATACTGCGATAAACTCTTCCGAACCAACTATATGTTAAAGCAAAAGCTGGATTACCTTCTTGAAATGCTTGTTGTTGAATTTGAAAAGCACTTTGAAGAGCCTTAAGAGCTGCTGCGTAATCACCCATTCGTTCGTAACATGCGGCGAAACTCAAGTGACTACCAGCCAAATCGGGATGATTCGAGGACAGAGCTTTTTCTCTTATTTTAAGCGATTTTTCGTAAAATTCAAGTGCTTTCGAGTAGTCGCCCATGTTGTTATACACTTGACCGATGTTGTTGTAGGAAGTAGCTAAATAGGGACGATTCGAAGGCAGAACTTTTTCGTAGATTTGATGTGATTTTTCGTAAAATTCAAGTGCTTTTGAGTAGTCACCCATGTTGTAATACATTTGACCGATATTGTTGTATGAAGTAGCCAAATCAGGATGATTCGGAGGCAGAACTTTTTCATCGATTTGAAGTGCTTTTTCGCAAAATTCAAGTGCTTTCGAGTAGTCACCCATATTGTTATACACTTGACCGATGTTGCTGCAGGAAGTAGCCAAATCGGGATGATTTGGAGGCAGAACTTTTTCATAGATTTGATGTGATTTTTCGTAAAATTCAAGTGCTTTCGAATAGTCACCCATGTTTTTATACACGAGACCGATTTTGTTGTAGGAAGTAGCCAAATAGGGATGATTCGGAAATAGGGCTTTTTCCGTGATTTCGAGAACTTTTTCGTAAAATTCAAGTGC